AACAATGGACTGACAACCGTCAGGCATCCGATCCCATAAACCCCACGCTTTGCTTTATGAAGCGATGTACAGGCAGAAATCAGACGCCAGCAACTTACCCACTAAGGGCAAAGCGAAGTACAAGATAACGAGGAACATCTTGCTGTCTTCGGATGGTTTCCCCAAACAAGCTGATGTGTCACAACAAGGAAGATCAGCATGAAGATATTCCAAAACCGCCGAGGTCCAAAGGTTCCAAGTTCAGATCCATTGAATTAAAGGGAAAGTAGGAAAAAAAAACACAACCAAAACCCAAACCCAACAAAACAACGGAAAAAAACCCACCCCTCTCTCCTCTTCACCGCTCCCAGCACCAGCGGCAGGAGCAGCGACGCAAACGCTGAGCGTTTTCCCTTAGATTTCAGGTCTCAGCAACCTGGAGACACAAGCCCCGACTTCACTGAGCGAGCGGGAGACGCGCACGCACGGGTGTACGTGTGTGCGAGTGAGCAAGCGGGAGCGGGGCAGCAGCGCCGGTCGCCTCCTTGGGTGGGCAGCGCCTGTTCCCAGGGAGGGACCGAGAGCACACGAGGCGGGAGCGGGAGGGGGGGTGACGGGGGGGGACGGGACGAGATCAGCGGCGTCCGTCCGCCCCTGGTCGCGCCGCTGGCAGCCCCGGCTGCTGCTCCTTGGGGTGCCCGAGCCGCCCGCGGGCGATTCGCTTCTTCCACCCTCCTCACACCGCAACTTTATTTATTCGCCCGCGCCGGGAGGCGGTGCGCGCAGGGGGTGGCGCGCAGCTTGCGCGGTGCGCTCGCCTCCGCCGCCGGGGGAAGGTGCCGCGCTGCCGGCAGTGGTGGGAAAGTTTGGCAGCGAGAATTGGGACGGGAGCCGGCGCAGCGCCGGAGGGGCCGGCTGCTCTGGTTCCGCCGACCTGGGCGGAGCGGCCGCGCCTGTGGGAGCCCCCGGGCACGGCGCTCCAGGGGCGCTTCCGAGCGGAAGCCACCGCCAAATCACCGAGCTGCTGGAGGGGTGGCGGGGCCGGTGCTGCTGCCTGCGCCCGGCGGGGGTGACTCCGCTTCTCGTCCGCCCAAGAGGGAAGCCCGGGGCGGCCGGCTGCCACCCGGAGGAGCGGAGCGGAGCGGAGGGGAGGACCCCACCGGACCGCACCGCCTGCCTTCCCCCTGCCGCCCTCTCCGGGGGGAGGCCCCGCGCCTGCGGAGCGGAGGAAGCGCCGCCCGGGGGGAGGCGGGACAGCGGGTGCGTATCCCCGCCGCGCTGCGCGGTGCTCGGCGCGGGCCGTCCGTGGGCCGGGGCCGAGCTGAGTGTATCGGCTTCCACTTGGCTCCCGAATAAACAAAGCGAACATATGTCCCATAGTCGAGACAGATGGTTCAAACAGAGAACTATTTAGTGGTTTTCCCACCGTTGCTACTATGTAGAGCTCCCCTGAAACCCAACAAAACGCAATTAGCCAAAAATAGCGCCGGTTTCCAGATTTCCTTGTTTTCATACGCGGAAAATTTGGTTCAGGTGGTTTTATGTTTTAGCTGCAACCCAATAATAACAAAAAGAAACAAATCAGTATATACATTACTTGGCAATTCTATCAACGGGCTGTTTGTTCTGTTGACTTAAGGAATTTGCTTCTCCTCACAATAAATTCTGCCTAAAGGAGCTTCCCTCGCCTCATGAGATGGAAGATGATCAGGCTGGCCACTTTTATAGTGAAAACTGGCTGGCAGATGGAGCTAAACTATTGTAAGGTACTTCAGAAACACTTACTTAAAAGCTTAGCATATGCCAGGAGAGACAGCGGATATGACAGCCACAGAACCCGAGTGGAAGCTTTATATTTGTTTGTTTGTTTGTTTGCTTGCTTTCTTCTCCTGCCACTTTTTCTGAACAGACAGATCTGCCATCCTACCAGAAATAAATAAAAACCTGAACTGTCTAAAGCATCAGTTCTCTCCATGGAGTCATAGTAGCGATGTCAAGTTGCAACTGATTAAGTCACAAGCCTGCCTTGGTGGTTTAATGTGAAGGGGGATATGCTCTTATATGGTCACAAAATCTGTTATCTGCTGCATGTACAAGGATACAGTTGGAGAAACAATGACAAGGACCAGATTTCTAGAATAGGAAGTGCTAGATTGGTGATGGCATTGATGGTTGAGGACACCTTCAGCTTTTGAACTAGCTGGTATTTAATGAAGCAGGTTGGCCTCCCAAACACTTCAGCACAAATTGAACTGGGTGATAGAGGCAGGTGATTACTTCTTCACTGGTAATTTTGACACCATTATGACATGTGATAAGCTTTGTATATCTGTCCGATGCACAGACAATATTATTCTCCTGCTATTTACAAGTCTCAGTCAGGAATAGCTACAACATTCACAGCAGAGCAAGGCAAGTGAAAAGAAGACTGAAATCCAGGCCACTATTTACAAAAGCATTCATGCATTAATGTCCTGAATACATATATACACACACACAGGGTTATTTGGCATATAAAAGCAATGCATTGCAAATCTCTGCATTAATAACTATATTCACTATTATAAAACAGAACTTTTGTGGGGTGTTCGCTATTACAGTGAAATTGAAATCATATTTCAAGTGTTCAAAGTCAAATAAAATGCTACTGACAGCTCAGAGATAACAGGGCAGCTGGAAAGCATGCATCCAAAACTCTGACTATTGCCACTAAACACTACTCCTGTCAATATTTTGACTCACCTCTGAAAACTATCACCCAAAGTGAAAAAAGGTTAAAATGTCTTAATCCAGAGAAGTTTAAAATGCAGCCGTGTTTTGGAAACATAAAAAAACTATTCAAGGAGAAAGTCCATGCTACATACAGTTGTTTGGAACTTCCAGCCGCTGCACACTGTGCCGGGACTGTAGGTCTGAGAAAGCTTCCTGCAAATCACAAGGACATTCATTCCGCAGCAGAAATTACCCATTCTTCTTCATTTCTTCCAGAGATTGAATTGTTTGTAAGCTTTGTCAACTTATTTCAGTATTTTCAAATTGATTTGTGGATGCCGTCCTTTCCATCTATGGCTAAACTAGTTTCCATGTCCCACTAGCACTGTGACAACACAAGCGCTTTACTCTCTTCATATGGGATCACTTATGTGGTGGACTGATGTCACATCAGCGCACAAGATACATAGCTTCCCTGAAGTGCCATGTTGTATTAGTATTGCCTATGTATACTCTGCCATAAATCCTAGCTACAAAGCATTGTCATTGTTTTAAAGAATTTAAAATGATATCAGACAAAACCCCATAAGCCACCCTATGGCTGGAGCAATCCTCCTGCTCTTTTCACATTCTTTTCCAACTGCTTTTACTTCCCTTGTGGGTAAAATTAAGTCAGTGGTTGATTCCAGTCAAACCAAGGTCCACCCTACAAATTGTTTCCGATAATGGCTCAAACCATAAGCCTCTTCAGTCAAATGAAGAATAAAAAAGACACACAGAAGTCCTTAATGTGAACATTTTCAAGGTACTTAAGCTTATTTTCTATTCTGTTGAGTTTTATGAAAAAGTTTGATAAAGAAGTACAGCTGGTAGGAACAAGCATTTTGTTAGAAGACAGATGACAACATAATCGCCACTGAATTATTGTGTAAAGGCCGTTACAATATAAATAATGTGGAAGAAAGTGCTAACTACATGCTACTTACTGCCAGCATTAACATCTAGTACTTCAGTCTTTACATGATTTTACTTACTTTGTTCTTTCTAGTTAGTCGCATTAGCTGGTATTCTTTCACTGAAAACTTTTAATAAAGAAAATACAACTTAATGAAGATAGAGGGCTTAATTGACAATAAAATTTATGTGAAAAAACAGTGCTTTGAACACTGTTATGTCCAAGCAGGCCGGGATAAGTGAACCCCTAGCTATATGTAGTTTTAAGCTTCCTGTCACCTTGCAGGATGAACCCAAATGCTCTGAATACAGCAGCAGCTTCAAACCACACCTGTAGTCAGAACCACGTGGTACTCGAGGCCAGCCTTATGAGAGGTGCAATGTCAGAATACTGGGTTTTCGGTTTTACTGGATTTTCTCCTACAGCAACCTCTCACAAGCAAAAAGAACTGACTCAAATGCAGTCGTTGTTCTGCAGCCAGTCCCATATGCAAAAGCTGTGGTGTTGGAGCACTGAGGTTGATATGGCTGGCAGCAGCTCAGATGACAATGTCATGGTAAGCTGACAGGAAGGCTGAATTAATAAACTGGCTGGGCCACAGTTAGCCCAAAGATTCTCTTCACCCCTGCCATAGACCTTCTTTTGGAGACTGAATCCTGGCAAGAAAGTATTGGAGTTGGAGTCACTGAGACAAGGGAACATTAAACAGTATTATTATCTGCGGGCCTGGGAGGTAGGTGAAGAGAAAGGATGCTGAGAATAAGAACAGTGCAGTGAACTTCAAATATAGTTCTTTGGGGAATGAATAAGTGAAGCAAGGCTGAACCTAAACTAATGAGTCAGATATGGCAGGTGGGGGAGAGCAAGCAACTGATGGGAAAACATCTGTGTGCCGTGGGAGCACAGAAAGTAGTGTTTACACAGGAGGCTTTGTTCAATAATGAGAAAGGGAGAATAGACAAGTCAGAGAATTACTAGGGATGGGGGGAGAACAATCTGAACTGCATTTTTTGTCTTACATTTATCTGCTTACCATGAAGTCAAAGTGCCTAGTGGTGGGAATAAGGCAAAAAGGATTTGCTCAAGGCATTAAAGTTTTGTAAAGGACAGATTGAATAACAGTGCTCCAAAAATCAATTTTGAGGGGCTTATGAAGTCTTGAATGGGCTTTTGCAGCGCAAAAGCAAGATGGAGTTTTTACTAAACCTGTCATTTATTTTGGTTTACAGCTTTCAGGAAATTATCAGAAAAACATAAAAGCAAAGTAAGCAATGAACATTCACACAGTAATCAAATAACAAACATGTGGAAGTGCAATCCAGATCACAGAGCGACTTAATAGATGCAAAAGGAAAGAAAGTCATCCTCAACCCCCTGATTTAATCAGATCTGGGAGTGGATTCCCACAGCAGTTCCTGGCCAGGAGGTTTTTCCTAAACTCTTGCTTTCCCTGTCCTCGCCAGAGGTTGATTTTATGTAGTATCAGACCACCTGGAAGAAAGAAAGAAAACAAAAAGCAAGCTGCAAAATTCCTCCATGAATTCATATGTGATATGTGACCTTATTATGATTTCAGTGGAATACATAAATACTAAGTCAGCGCAATGCAGCGAGCTTGTGAAGAAACAACATATTAGTTACCCTTAAGGATTTGAAAATGTGGATAAAACTGCAGCCCCTTGTGAAGTTCTGTATCTTATACAAACGACTCTATCAAACTTTAAGTACTGATATACAGGCATAAGTATTGATGTTTGTCCAAACCGGTAAGGAAAAAGTTGTTAAGGACAGGCCGACACAAGTTGTATCCCTCGGTTTATGTCTTGCTGCTTTAAAAATGGAATAATACAGCCCCCTAGCTGTTCGTGGAGGCAATTCATGCTAACGTGGGAAAGGTGATGCATGCCTCTACAGCAAAACATGCCGAATTCCACAAAGGATAGTCAGTAAAGAAACTTGACGTGACACAGTTAGGTAAAAGTATAAAAGATCGAAAAATATGAAATATATTAAGTAGCAATCATTCACGTGCCTAGAAAATTTAAAGCAATACGATCCAGGTGCTAGAACAGCATCATTTGAAACTTCAGCTTCTGAACACCAGCAGCATCAACTTCTACCATTCCATGGGCTACATCGGCTAGTGTGATTCAGCCAAGGTAACAGTTTGGTCCGTTAACTTGAAACTTTCCTTTTGCCTTTTAAAATTTACCAGCAACTTGCTCTTGTGGAAACCATGCAATCCTGACAGAAAAATCTACCTTATACTGTGTAAAATACATTTTACACATACATGTGAACCTCATAGTCTTTGCAGAAACACTAAAGCTCTAGAAAATTACTTATTCGAAGTGTCTATTGCTGTAAGAATACAACATTCAGGCAGATTTAAAAACTTAATTGTGGAAAGCATTAGCGTTTCAGAACACTGAAATCAGATTCTTGAAGAGCATCTGAGAAAACCGATGTAAAAACTGAGAATGTTGGCGTTTTATATTTCCAGACTATTTCACTTATATGTAGGTTCATTTCCCCCTGCCGTGTTTAATTGCAAGTGGTAATATGTCTGTGTATAAAATGATGTATAAAAGGTGGTGAGATTCTCTTTTCAGACGTGCACAGCTCTAGCTAGTGATGGGTATTCAGCTTTCCCTGTTCATGCTACACTGGATATACACACACTTACAGAGCAAAGACTATTAAATCATAGAAGAACATTTTGCTTTCATTTACGGTACATATCTTATTCTAAACTGTAGGATCAAATCTGCCCTGACTCCTGCTTTGGTTAGGGAAGTCGAAAGAGATGAGTAGAGGTTAAAGGCATTTCAGAATTTAGTGACCAAAGGCAATATTATCATCTTGGATGTTCAAAGCTGTACATTTGCTAGACTAGCCCTGACGAGTAAAATCAGTTTTTCTCCTGATGGTGTCACCAAAACTGTAATTTTATTGGAAGTTTCTCAAAAGGTTAGCGACTCTGTCAGTGTAAATTTCTACAATCTCTGTTTGATCGGTCTTCCTCTGAGGTGAGAAATTTAGGGTACAAAAAGTCTCAAGATATTTATATTGGAGGTGAAAGGAGATCAAGAAAAAATGGAAGTGAAAGAAAGTAGTGTTGTAAATGCCTTGAGAATTTGTCCTTCAGAGAAAGCAAAACACTGTTCTAGATAGCTGCTATCAACTACATGTAGCACCCTCTCTACTAAAGGTACAGTGATATTTGGGGGTTTGTTTGCTCTGTGATTTTTTGGGGAGAGAGTGTGTGTGTGTGGTTTGTGACTTGTTGGGATTTAGGGGAGGATTGTGTGGTTTTGTTTAATCATAAAAAGTATTCAGTAAAGATGGGATGAAAAGGCTAAAGATGTCTTGAGTCAGCAACAATAGCTCCTTAATTAACACATGCTTTTTTTACACATATAGTTTAGGAAGAACCTCATGACGAGATAATTCTCCTGTAATCCAATTGATTATCAGCTGGAAACAGTGTAGACAATCAGGACATGTTTGTTCTACTAAAATACCACATAATCCCATTATTTGGCTTCTCTGCTCTTAATTCTGTAAAATTCTGATGGCAGGAGAATACCCACTGAGCCCCGCACATACTGAAGTAATCGCAACAGGCCACTCTGAAAGGCAAGTCTGAAAGCTAGAGTCACAGCTGATGTTACTTGCAGTTTTTTTCCTCCATGCTTTTCCACAAGTGTTCATTACATCAACTACAGCATGTTAAAGAATGTTTCCTGGTTTAATAATGTGACGCACAGTTAAATCTACAGCACTTTCTTTAGATGGATGTAGTTGCCTGCTGGTAACACCAATAAAAAAAAGCTTTTATGATGGAATGCCTGCATCTGTCCTGCAGTTTTACTAGCAGACATAGTTCTGTTGAAAAACAATAATGCATGCTTTAAAAGAAAGCTGGAGAGGAGCTTTTTACAAGACGTAGTGATAGGACAAGGGGGAATGGCTTTAAACTGACAGAGGGTAGATTTAGGTTAGACATTAGGAAGAAATTCTTCTTTGCAAGGGTGGCACGGGTTACCCAGGGAGGCTGTGGCTGCCCCATTCCTGGCAATGTTCAAGGCCAAGTTGGACGGGGCTTGGAGCAACCTGCTCTAGCGAAAGGTGTCCTTGCCCATGGCAAGGGTTTGGAAGTGAATGAGCTTTAAAGTCTATTGCAATTCTAACTCAATTCTATGATTCTTTTTTAGTAGAGAAAACTCATTTTAGCCGTGTGGGCTTGACTAAGCACAAGGTTTGAAAACAAATCTTTCCCATACTACTGCAGGGATGGAACAAATCTTTTTCTCCAAGTGGTCTCCTGACTTGAATCAAGCTTACTCAGATTATCCTGGTGTTACTAAAGTCTTTTTTGTCTCATCTCTGAGGCTTGCCTTTGGGTCTATTCAGGCACTCAAGAGAGGGGCCACTCAGTGCTTCTTAGAAACCTTCAGCACTCATCTCTCCAGCCCTTGTTGATTTTGGCATGCCTGCCCTGCTATCCTCTTCAGAAGCTTCTCAGTCCTCCTTGCTCTAGATGGTCTGGATGCAGGAGCCAAGCCAACAAGAACAACACAGGCATCTTTTCTGTTGTCCTGGAATACCTTTCTAACAGTTGGCGTAACATTTGAAACCAGCAATTCAAAGTGTATTAAAAAAAAGGGGGAGGGAATGCAGGTTAAATGAGGACCTATTTTAATTTACACTTTGCTTCAATTTTAGTTCATTTAAATCCTGCTAGCTCAGGTTTTCCTGGACACTGGTGAATAGCTATTGGTCTACTAAAGGGAATAATGTGCTCCAGACTGTGGAGATTCACCTGTACTATGCCTGTAAAACACTTAAGACAAATGCCCTGACCCTAAAAAAGTTTAACAACCAACCTTGTATTATAAACTGGAAGAGAATCTAGCATACAAGACTGTCCATTGTCTATGTGTTTGCTTCTTACAAACCATACCTGAAAAAAACATTTCTAAAAGCCATATTTCTGAATGCAACGATGGCTGAAAATATGAGCAAGTGAACCTTGTAATTTGTTTTATAAATGGCAAAAAGGCTGAGAATCAGCAGCCCCAAATAAGGAAAAGAAGTTTCTGGTGAACTCATTTTCATAGGAACGTAGGAGTTATTAATTTATGAAAGAAGAAAAAAGCATGTTTCCAGACAAAATGTTAAGATAAAAAGTAAATACTTTATATGAAATTTAAAACTGTCACAGATTACTTACATGCCCACAGTGTGACCCTTTGAAGTTTTTTGCTTGGTTAATTAACCAATAGATCACTATTTATAACAAAATAATGCATTATTTTAAACAGTTTAAACATGTACAGTAATGGCATCTTGCCACAATGAAATGTAAGCATGATGTTCGCAGAATTACAAAGCAAAATCCAAAGCAACTGTGATTAATGCTGTGATTTCTGAACTTGGTTACTTTTTAATCCACATGACTGGAGCGAGTCAGAGCATCCTGACAGGTTCATGGCCAGGATATTGCGAAACACCAGCACAGCACATCTGAGTTCTTTTTTCTTTTTTATACATCAAAAAAAAAAAAAAAAAGGAAGCAAGAAAAATAGACACAAAGGAGTTCCAATTTAGGGGTAGCACAGCTGAACTTTCAATGTTACCTGAGAGAGGATAACCTCCAGGGGTGCATTGGACCAAGCTCACAACCACTGCACATAACACCGTGCTTTTCCAGGTTGCTAATAACCCCAGCAAGAAGAGGGGAAGCAGAGCTGACCACATTCCTATAAATGTGGCTGTCTGTAGCCTGTGTGATTGACTGACTTACTGCACAGAATAATTCTGCTCATTGTTTCATTTATCATGTAGAAATTCATGCATGTATTTAGTCTGCCCTGTCCTAAACCATGACATCCTCTGGAACAGAAACTTGTGAATTTCTGTTGAATATATCCTTGTACTTAGATCTTTAAGGTTCAGATTTTCTCTGTCAGCTGGGTAATCACAATTGTCCTCTGTTTTGGTCTTGACTGTATATGTAGTAAATGCTCTGAAGCAGGCAGTACTTTGACACTGTTCAGAGAATTATAAAGGAGGCTACAGTCTTGGCTAGAAATGCAGAAATTACTGTAACATTAAGATCAAACAGTTTTGGTGAAGACATTTTGAGAGAGTGAATTTTCATTCTAAATATCAAACAACTGGTAGGTGATGGCACATTAACTTACTTGCTTTTGGAATAGTTGGCTGGGCCACAGTAGTTTTTGGAGTCCTGGAGAACACTTTGACTTCATGGTAAGCAGAAAGGAGAAAGCTCATCATCCCAGGGTATCCGTTTCACTGCATTACCACAGTCTTGGTTGAAAATGCATTAAAATGTTTAAATGTTCAGCCTAATTGGTTAAGTCTTTTAATTCACAGATAGAATACTGTTCCATTTTAATTCTCACATTTGGATGCTTAAGCTTCTTCAAATTTTACTTGTTCAAAATGCTTAGAACGATCCCATTATCACTAAATTGATGCCATAGATAAATGATCAAAGTCCTAAAGTTTATGTATCGAATAACAAGAGTGAATAAATCTCATCTTCAAGATGCAGACACCTATGCAACATGAAAACTGAACTTCAGCAGGGCTGCCTGTGTCTGCTGGAAAATACAGCTCACAAATTCAATATCTTTTCTTCTCATAACACAATTTGTAATTCTTTTGCGTTGCTCTTCTTGCTATTAAAAGCTCGTGTTATTAACATCACTGCTTTGATAATTGTTTGCCCACATAAAATACCTTGAAAATGTGTTTTTTCTTGCTTAATTATATGTTTTATAAATTCTTAAAATACTTTCTATATGAAAACATTATTGTAGTGTGACTGAGGTCACTGTCCAGAAGTTACTTGTAACCACCAAAACAAAGCCATTTCCTATGACATTTTGAATTTGCACTATTTTTACAGAGCTTCAATAAAAACAGTTAATATTGCAAACATCAAAGTTATATTCTTTCTACAATTTAAAGGAGTATTATTCAACATATTTGTGGCAGCTGTCCATATCCACTTTTATTCTACTGTAAACAGAGTGAATTAAAGTGATACGCCCAACTTAAAGTACAAATAGAACAAATTTCAAAGTTACTGATTTGTGACAGTGCGTACAGACATTAAGCAATACTTTTTCAGTGTCCTGGTTTCAGACATTCCGAAATAGATCACTTCAGCATAGAGACACTGTACTGAAGGAAAATTGAAAATGTGTTGGCTGCCCAGTCAATATTAATATAAAAGTGAGGTTTAGAAGTTTTAAAACCTGAATTTTTTTTTAAAATCATCTTTTATCCCATAGGATCCATAGGAAAAAAAAAAAAAAAGCCAAAAATCCCTGCAGGAAGATAATGTAATTCCCCCTACCTGAGGAATTAACCATAAGCATTCTTCCTGAAAGATTGCTGTGAATAACCACAAGTGCTCTTTCTATAAGTTTTCTGCTTTATGTGGAACATCCCAGTTGATGAATATTGACTAAAAACATTTAAAAGAAGTGTCAAGCTCACAGAGGTTTGCATCAGTCTGTTTAACTCCCTTGAGCATCTTTAGGTGATAATTTTAACTTGCAGGAGTCCAGAGAAAACAAATCCTAAACTGTAAGTGAATCAGAATGGATAAGGCATCAGTAAAAAGGCATGGACTTAGTTACAGTTCTGGATCATGCTCAGATGTTGGTATCCATAATCTTCTGACATCCTGAGACAGGAAAATGCTTATGAATGTGAATACATGGCAGGGAGGCCTAAACATATCCAGCTATCGGTCTACTTCATGACCAGGGTGACAGGTACTGGTCAACCAGAGGGGGCAAACCGATGCATGCTTCCTGGCTACCTTCCTGAACATGATTTGCAATGCTAGCCCAGACTTGACCGGTAGATTTGGTGTATACCCAAACAGAAATCTGACAGTGGCTAGGGGCCAACTTGGTTCTACTTTGAGCTTTGTGATAAAGATCTAATGGAGTGGTGTTCATGGCTCGAATAACTGTGTGAATGGACTGTCAAGACTATCTGCACAAGATTTTCTTTTAACATTCAAATGGTACTTTTATGGAAAACTTGGACGACAGCTTCCCCTTTGAAAAAAAGCTGCTAAAATAAAGCACTGCTGCACTAAGTTTACTGTACCTTAAAACCACTCAAGAATGTTTTTATTTCTGTAATGATTGGAGAAAAGTCAGGTTTCCCAAGAAAGTCTACAATTTTCAAGACAAGAAAGAACTGGGCGTTATATTGCAGACCACTTTAACAAGGCAGGGTCACTGCATTTCTGCATAAGATTCACAAGACAAGAATATCTATGCACATGCTCTGCAAATGCAGCTCTTAGAAATATATCTGATGTTGGGCTAACCATGCAATATATTCCTGTGCAGGGACCATTTATTCTAGCTGTCCAGATACCTAGAAGCTTATATGAGGCACTGACAAGACCACCAGATACACAGGAAACCTGGAGAAATGCCTAATATCCTCAAAATCTGTCTGTATGTACTCCAGAGGTTAGTCTAATAAAATACATGCATATAACAGACCTGTGTTTAGGCAAAGCCTACAAGTGTCACTAGGTTGAACACGTAAGATGGCCACAACATCTGCCTGAGCTACTAAAATACATTTTGGTTTTAATACTGTGATGGGTTGTTCTGCTTTGAACTGCACATCCTGAGCCTGGATCAAAAGCTTCTCATGCTGCCCTGCCAGTGAGGAGGCTGGGGGTATACAAGAAGTTGGGAGGGGACACAGCTGAGACACTGACCCTAAATGAGCAAGGGAGGAGCCAAGGCCAGGTTGGACAGAGCCTTGGGTGGCATGGTTTAGTGTGAGGTGTTCCTGCCCATGGCAGGGGGGTTGGAACTAGATGATCTTAAGGTCCTTTCCAACCCTAACTATTCAATGATATCCCACACCATATGGTGTTGTGCTCAGTAAGTAAACTGGGGGGAAAGCTGACTGCAGGGCCTGCTTCTTGGGAACAGGATGGCATTGTTTGGTTGGTGGTAGATGAGCAATTGTTTTTCATTTGCATCTCTTCTTTTTCCCTGGGTTTTATTGCTCTTTTATTTTTTTCCTCTTTTTATTACAATTTCTTATTATTTTTATTTTTATTATTAAACTGTTCTTACCTCAATCCACAAGTTTTCTTACTTTCGCCCTTCTGACTCTCTCCCCACTGGGGGTGGGAAAGATTGAGCAAGCAGCCATGAGGTGTTTAGCTGCCAACTGGGGTTAAACCACAACAGTGACTCACAGAAACTTTTCAGCTTAAATTTAATCACACAATTTATTAGGCAGGGGTGGGGGAGCTATTCTCAGCTGGATTCAAGATGATAATGAAAAGAGTTAGCTTTGGTTTATTGCTGCTCCAGATGGTAGCCAAAAGGGACTGAGAAGTGTGGGAGTAACAGCTCTCCAGTGGGGGTTTGGATTTAGAAAGTTACATATGCCGTGCAACTGTCAACAGTTGCTTAAAAGGTTCCATGGCTTGTTAGACTGGACTCTGCAGAGACAATCATAGAATCACAGAATGGTTTGGGTTGGGAGGGAACTTAAAACTCGTGTAGTTCCAACCCCCTGCCGTGGGCAGGTACACCTTCCACTAGACCAGGTTGCTCAAAGCCCTCTCCAGCCTGGTAAAGTCAAAGGTGAAGGAAGGGATCCTTCAGGATTATTCTTATGATATGATATGTTATGAAGAGCAAAGGAAAGCAAAGGCCTCATGAGGATTTTGTAGGACTGATGCATTTAGAGACACTCATTTTCTATAAATATTTCAGTCCATCTCTTCACTGAAAGATAATTTATCTGAGTATGTCAAGACGGGACTCAAGAAAACAGACACAGTCTAGATTTAACATGAGTTATATTTTTCTGACAGGAAAGGTAGGTAGAGGGACAGACTGAGTAGGACTAGATTATACTGCTGTTTTTTAATCTGTGCTTTAAGAAAAACTCTCAGACTCCAGGCTCCTAGATTGCAAGAAGTAAATTGCATCTTTGAACTGGTACATCGATACCATTATACATGTTATAAGAAATGAGCTGCACAATTCCAGAGTACGCTTATTCAGAACTCAAGAAACAACACAGAGATAAACCGAGTATCTTGTTTTTCATTAGCAGCAAGAAAGATGTCAGCAGAGCCCCTACAAGCGTAGGTATATCAGTAATTCACACCGAATTACCTAGTAGATTTTTAACACCACTACATCCTTTCTGGCCTCTAGTCTGAGTATCTGTATTTGTGTAAAAAGCCATCTTTAGAACTAAGCATTATCAATACAGTACGCATACACCTAACTAATTGTATCCACTTAACTATGACAGGTGAGTTAGGAGCCTAATTGCTATAGACTACTTACACATTTAATGAGATAAAGCACTATAACTTTTCAAGTATTTCTTTTCAAGTAGTAGTGGTCAAGAAACCAAATGAGGAAAGAAAACGTGTCTGTAGTTGCTATAAAATGGATTTTATAAAGTCTGAAGAGCCTCAATTATCTAGTAGTAAGGCATCTATGTGTTAGTGTAATACCGAAGCTAAAAAGGCCCTAGAATCCCAGTTAAGAAATTATGGCGTCCTCTAAATAGCTTTTAAAATTCTTTGATCTAGAGTCATCATTAAAGGATGTTTTCTGCTATAAAGTCTCAGGGATATCTTTTTCAAAACTTACCAATATATATGAAGTATCCTTGACTGCCTCATATTCAGCTCCATGCTACCTCAAGAAAGTAAAATTTTCTTATTCAGAGGAAACTCTTGAATGATCTGAAAAAACAACACTGAATCAGGTCTTTAGCATACTGAAATCACATCCTATGTTACAGTCATAACCCCTTGTACCTCAGGAGAGTAAAAGATTGAAAAACATCAATGTGTCAGAGAACAGTAGAAGATACTAAAGTCACAAGAGTTCTTGACCAGCCACATCTTAGCAGCCTGCAAAAGCAGCTACTTCACAGGATAAAACTTACATCCCATTCTAAGCAGTTATGTTAAGCAGAGAGAAAAACATCCCCCATAGCTCCAGCCAATATGACTTGGAGAAAAATTACTTCCTAATTCTAGTCAGGTGATCAATTTAACCCTGACTGTGTAAACAAATTCTATCCAATTAACACCTGACATCCTAACAAACCGGCCCTTTTTTACCTGCTGCCAATCTTAGCATTTAGGATAGGGCAGCCCCCTTCTCCTATAATATGCACCAAGAAGGAACATAAAAGTATATGCAGAAGACTAGAAGAACTGGCATGTGGACCAGTTAAAAACATTTCTGTTTAGAGATTGTGTAAGAAAAGTACACAAACAAGTTTCCCATTAAATTTGTCTGGCAATGTCAGTGAGTATCCAAAGCTTTAAATCACAGACTTTATATTCTGACCTGAGGTCGCTTCACCATGTCACACATATCCTTTCATTAATTTATAAATTTCCATCTGGAAGTAGTTCAGGTCCCCGCCTCCATGACCTTGTCTGGAAAGCAGTTCCAGAGCTTTGCAAAAATTGCCAAGAACCTTATTTAAATTTCTTATTTATTCATAGTTGTTTGTAAGTATCCGAACTTGAAATAGTGTTATCCTTTAGCATACAAGTCGTCTTCTCTCACAGCTACCCCCACACATACTTATAAGGATATAACCATATGCCCTTTCAAGCTTTGTTTTGCCAGAGAAGCTATTTTCATCTCAGCTGAGAAAATAGGTAGTCCTTTCCCCTAACCATCCCACTCCGCACCTGCTGCGAATCAATGTGGGTCATGAGAACTGTAAACAACATTCTGAGAGTTGTCTTACCAATGCCTTCTAAAGCAATGTTAACACTTTATCGTCTTCACTGAAAATCCTTCAGCTAATATTCCCTGAAACTGCTTCACAGCCATGACATTATCATGGCTCGTGGTCACTGTACAGCTGACTAATGCACTAAACCTCTTCCCCTTACTATCGCCAGCAATTATCAAGACACAGCTTATACTAAAAGAACATGATATTAATCCCAAAGCACCCACCTCCACTTTCCATACTATTAGGTTTCCATTTTGTCAGTCCATAAGGTCATTTATTTCTTTTCTGATATGCTAGTCATATTCCAGTTTTGTGCCATCTCTTAATGCCATAGGCAGTTTCCTACTTTAACCAGGTTCAACCATACTACTGAAATCAGTGTCAAGATAAGTCCTAGAGAAATTTTATTAGCAAAGTCATTTCATTTTGGTATTTCTATTTTTAACAGAACTCTCTTTTAATATAACCTTTTACTCAGTTCCTTTTCAACATTACGAATCTTTCATTAAATCCCACCTTCTCCACCTTAAATAACTTCCCACAGGGAGCACTATAATGCCTTATTTTGATAAAGGTAGATTAAGTCTTCTGCATTACTCCTCTCTGGGACAATTATCTTATCAAAGAAAGATATTAAGTTATCCTGATACGATCTACCCTTGATAAAATCATGTTGGTTTTTTTCCCACTTTCCATTTACCTCCAGGTCCTTGATAAGTTTTACCTTCAAAATCTACTCTAAGACCTTGCTTACTGTTGAGGTCAAACTGCTATGCCTGCATTTGATTTGACCACCTCTTTTCCCTTTTATGAATAAAAGGAATATCTTCCTTATTCTTTAGTTGTATTGTGCTAGCCCTGAATTGAACTGATACACATAATATCCTTGCAAATAAGCATTTACGTTTGTGGTTTTGTTCAGTGCCCTGAAATGGGTGTTGTTTAACCTCTCCATTTCATCACAGTAAGTAGTTCTATTCAGTGTTTTTAACATCCTGGAAGATGGAATAGAGAGTACTTACAAAATATGCGCAACTCAATGTATAGTTTTGAGGAGGGGACAGAGATTGGAGAAAGGGAAGAGAGAGTTTTGGAAGAATCAAAATTCAGAATACTGTGACAAATGGGAAAGATTGTGTGGAATGTTCACTAAGCACAAGAGCAGCATGGTATATTTTAATGACAATAAATCTAATGCACACATGCAGGATAAGGAATGTCTGGCCAAGAAGCTGTCCAGCAGAAAAAGAAAATCTAAGAACACAAAAGATGGAGAATACGGGGAAAAAAAGAAACACAACAAAAGAAAAGAGGTTAAGAAAATATGACTGATGCAGAAAGGGTGGAGGAATTGGGTTTGTCAGATTATAAACATAGGACGGCGAGAACTCGGCAGAGCACCAATCTGCCAGGACTTCCTGAAAAGTTCTGCCCATGATGCAGTTCCCTATCCTGATGAGTCAGGCAGCCACCAGTACGCTTTTCCTGTCCTAAATGTAGAGTTAAACCAGACAATCTCCTGCTATGCTTTTCAGCCCTCCATGCCTATGATTCTCATGTCTTCTACTCAGTGTTTCCTACTGCATTATTCCTATAAATTAAGATTACAGATATAAATACATGTGTGCATCAGGCTCTTCATTAAGTCCTTTGATTAAAGAACTTTCCTCTTTTGTCTTTTTTTCTTTTCACAGTGATGGAAGATCTAACAGATCTAACAACAATTATTTCTAAATTATAAATAAGTTATCCTTATTTCTTCTTGCAATGGAAGAGGGTTAACATGCCATCAAGAGCAGCATAGTTATGGTATGATTTCTTCTAAAATAGAAAGAGGGGCAGGCCCTTTTATAAACTCTGCAGCCCCAACTATGGATATTAATTTTGTATTCAAGGAACTGACTTACCAAGTGTATTTTAAATATTCTGATTTCGTTCTCAAAATAGGAGAAATGTAATTATTTTAGAGGAAGCAGAATTTCTGCTATTTATTCTAATCCACTTTCCTTCTGTAATCTTCTTTGTAAAAAGACAGGCTGTAAAAAGAGGAACCCACAAGAATTATTTACATGCTTTTCACACAATCTGTGAATAGGCATGCTTAATGCCTCTGAAAAGAAGTCACTGTAATACAGTGCAAATTATTAATTTATGAATGTGGCACAATTGATAATACATGCTTACCACATCTGTGATTTTCTACTCTACTTGAATTTAATGCTTTTATTATCTTGCCTATGCGCCGAGTCTTGGCATATGTATGCAGATGTGTGCCATGAAGCCTTTGAAAATTTCAGGATTAGAGATAGCTCATCTCCCAGAAGCATCAGTGGGAAGGAATATAGAAGGGATAGAAGCACAACTATAGGTTCTCTCTTTTTTTTTTATGTCATCTTTTAAAAAGATTAAATTACAGCATAACATCTCTATCAATAGGCATTTATGTTTATAAGCGTTCTTTATCATTGTTAAGTCTTCATTTTTATTTTCCTTTGCCCACTAAGATCTGCGCAGAAAACAGAGAGCAGAGTTTTATAGAGATCCACTTATTAGAGTGGATTTTACAAAGCAGTTTTTAAAACCTGAAGATAGAACGTACCTTTTGCATAATATTCTGGAGGAAGTGAGTTATTCTGAAAACTGTTCAGATTATTTTGAAGGAGTAGGCACAACAGCTTTTATTTTGAATAAATAATGAGGCTTGGGAACTTCCTTACAAAACAGTTTGTCACTGAAAAATACCATCTGGCTCAAATTTGGTGAGAGGTTTTATGAGACTTTGCAGTTTCAGTAGCTGTGTTAAAAGCAGGTTTTCAGATACAGGATATATGTTTTAGTTAAACTGAGATAGCCCTTCCTTAAAAAGGCAGTACTTCCTTGGATTGGGCACTTACATGGAATGTGAAATAATTTCAACTGCTGCCTAAATCAGGCCATAGGCATGTGTCCAAGTCCTTCAAATGTCTAAGGAAATGCCATATTTTGAAGCAGAAATGTTGATGGAACCGTAAAATTAATCTTATGAAAAGTATTATCAGAGATACCTAAAAGTATAACTCTTGATTTCACATGACAGTTATTTTCAGCAGAGAAACTCATTGGGCTTTAATACATACAGCTAAAGTGTAATAGGTATAAAACATAGCACTAAATAAAGCTCATGTTGTGAATAAAGACAATAAAGCAGTTTCATTTCAGTCGTCTACACATATTGTTTTCCCTACAATCACAGCATGAGGTAGAAGTAGAGCTTAAAGAACAGACATAAACATTTAAAAATATCTTGAAATGTTTTTATTTTACTTTTATGAACTGTAAAGTTATTTCTTTCTATGTTTCAGTGTCTATTAAGATTTTTCTATGATTAAGATGAATTTTATGTCAAAAGAGATAAGCTAGCATACTGCCGTTATATGGTTATAGGAAACATACCATAGTTCATTGATTAAACTGAAGTATTTTCAACAGATTGTTTAGTAAGTTTCAATCCAAGATTACATCTCTTGCATGAAAATCCTAGTTCTCAAAATATTTCCTTAACAGGCCTTTATTCAGGAGATTTAATGGCAACCATCTTCTTACAAGACATCGCAACATAATGGATAATTCATTTTCATTTCTGCTAACACAAAATTAAAAAACCCAACACCTTTATAAGTGGAAGAGACAGTTAAAATCTAAGAAGTACTTTTTCACTGTTTCTGTTGTAGCTTTCAGTGAGTGCCAACTTAGTGATAACCGTATGTAAAGCAAACTGGAGTGTTCCAGCCAAATAATTAAGAAAATTTACTATGAAAGTGCAAAGCCAAGACAGTGTTTTGTACTGTGATATGCACTCCAGATATGAAAAATTCTTTCTCCATTAGACAAGTTACTACCGTTATGCCAAGATAAATAAGAGGTCTGATAAATGTTTCAAAATGAGAGGCTCAGTTGTTGCTTATCCAAATACTAAAGAACAGCATAGTAAAAAAATTTTAGGATAAACTCTAGATCCAGTAAAGGACACAACTGAAATATGTTTAAGACTCTAAAACACTACAGTGGAACAATGTGGATACCTATGTAACAGCACAGTTACCGATCAGCAAAGAAAACAGCTGTTGTATTATTTTAACCAAAGACAATAGAAGACTAAGATTTAAAACCATAAAAGAGTAATCTTTGCTTTGTAACCCAAAGGGATCCAATGAAGCCTTTCCAGATGGAAATAAACAAAATCTTGGATGTAATACTCAAACGCAGATATCACAATGGAAATAGCAGGCTCTACCCTTATAAAGAACATCTGTTGTGAAGTTGTTTACATTCCTACCAAAGTGGAAAAGAGTATAGCTAATTCTCTGTTGCAGCCAGAAGCCAGACATGTTAGGGGGAGTATGAGGTTACTTTTTAGTGGTTTTTAATATATTATAAACACACACAGCTTTCCATTAACTCAGTTTTGTCACTTGAAAAAAAGAAATAGTCATTTGGGGTGAAGAGAATCATTTGCTTGCAAATTGCCAGAGATTTATTTCCACATTTTCCATTCTTTCATATTTTACTACATGAATTTTTGAAGTTTATTTCAACCCTGTTATAAGGAGGAAACAAGGTGTCCATTCATGAGTCCCTTGCTGAGCAGCCTACAAGAAATGAAGAACTTCCAGCCTGTGGGTTAGCAATTTGCTCTCACTCTTCCAGAGATAATAACTAGACTGTGTTTAACCTGAGTTTCTTGGGAAATTACAAATAGATCATAAATTATAGGTTATTACTGCATTAATATTCCTCCTCTCTGCTGTCCAACTCTAGGTTTTCAGAAGTAGTTGAGGTTTTTTTCATTCCTTTTTTCTTGTCTTTTTAATACTGGGAAATCAAGTCTATTTAAGCAGAGACCACAAAGTGTTTGTTCTGCGCTTCCTGTCCTCCCCTATGCCCTCCTAGTCCAGGCAGGAGACAGGCAATGGAAGACGGAACAACTCCATCTTCCCCTGTGATGCAATGGGTGGCTAGCAGGAAGGGTAGAACAGCCACATGAAATGTTCTTGATTTGCATTAAAACAACTTTATGACATGTTACCACCCTGCTTGCTGTATTTTAACAATGAAGTTTTAAATACTAGAGCTAAAGCTTTGATTTTAAAAGCTACACTACAAAATTAATTTTGCATACATCTACCATTTTTTATGCCTGCTTATGACAAATTATTACTGGGCTTCACACTGTTTGTAGTCTCTCTGCATCAGCATTCCTGCTCAACACTGCATTCCAAGTCATTAGTGCTCACTCATATAAGCATATATATATACACACACACAAACATGCATACATACACACACACATATAGATAGTATTTCCCAGTAAAGTTTAGCTCAGACTTCAGCACTAAACACAAAGTGATAGCTGTGAATTTAAACCACAGAATAATTTGACTTTATTCCTTCATGTAAGGTAGAAAAATGTTAGTGCAAAAATAGACGGCAAATACAAAGACCACCAAGAGCAAAGAAAGACCAAGGAGGTGTAGTTTGGGAAGAAGGTTTGCTATGAATACAACACTTCAAAAGAGGCAGTTTAATTTGTATATGGAAAATATAATACTCACAGTGCTTAACCACAAAAATGGAAATCTATGTGTAGCTATAATCCTATAATTTCTAGTTTCTACTATATATTTTTCCAGTGAAGACCATATTGCATCATATAATTTTTATCCCACCACTTCTTTACCTTTGCCTTTTTCATTGTTGGCTTTCAGAAAAACAATTTTTGAAATGATCTGACTATACATGATTTTGAGATAAATTACAGTAATAAATATTTTTATAGTGACTTGAAATTGCAAACAAAATCTTGCTTTTCTTCTTCCTATACAAACTAGAGAATAAACTTATAGAAGAAACTTCACTGCCAGCACAGCAGCTTGATTACAAAGGGCAATTACTAATTCTGAAGTACTCTAGAGAGACATGACCTGATTACAGCACAGTGATTAAGATACAGATATAGATTAAGATTAGGATGTACTGATATGACCAACAGAATAAAGTTAAAGTCACCTTTCTAATAGCTAATGATTTGCAAAAGATCTTTTACTTTCCAAATGTTGGAGTTGAGCAAAGGTAATACACATTTTCTTTTATTCTAAAACATTTAGGTTTGTATGATTTTGCCCATTTCCATGGGACCCAGGTAAATACACACCTTTGAAGTAATGATCCTGATTCTGAAGGCACTTGTATATGTTTCACTTCATACAATCCTGAATTATTCCAGTGAGTAAATTTCCCCTGTAAAACTCAAGAATGTGTCAAATAGCTGCAGGAGTCAAAAGCTATGAAGCTTAATGTCAAATACTTGTTCCACTTTGACTTTTTTCAGTCTCTGAAGGAATCTTTTACAGAACTAACTGTTAATTGCGCTGAATGGTCATTCTCAGACAGTGAGAAGTGTAGTTGGAGCCAGACTCTTCTTTCTAGGGAGAACAGTCCCTTTGACATAATTAGAGGCATCCTCCACAAAACACAGTCGTTTCTTTAATAAGTGACACTGAACACCATCCCAGCCTACAGCAGCTTTCTCGGTTTGAAACACAAAAGTAGTCAAGTCTCAAAAACTTCAAAGACAGCTTTTCATTTTATTTTCTCCTTGATCCACTGATAGAGCAGTTCATTTTCTTGAATTCTGTAAAATGACTTTTTCACTCATCAGACCTGTGTAACAAATCGCTGTCTCAATCTTGTTCCTGTTTGATTCATCCGCTTTAACTTTGGCCTTTGGATAGGAAGCTTCACTTCTGAAACATTTTCTAAATTCACTTTTGTGACTTTTCTCCCTCAGTTGCGCTTTGTTCCATTTTAAAAAATAATTGCATTTCCTGCAACATAATGTGCTAGTTTCAGGGGTTTAAATTTCATCAAATTATCTTTCTTAGAGAGAGCAATGTCTTTTCTTTAAAAAGCACCATTTGATAACACACTATCAGCTATAACATGGTGCTTTTAAAGCAGTAAATTCTATAACATAACGTATTTCCAGAATTCTCAGTTTCATTCTGCTAACTTCGGAGAGTTTTTTCACTAGTAAGACATGTATATTTTTTTGCTTTTTACAAAGATTTTCTGATTTCTGAACTTTGCTGCTACAGTCTGTTCTAAGACAGTATATCCTCTGAGGGCAACTCTTTAGCAAGACAGGACTGCCAATAATCCTGATCTTTTTCAATGTTAAAAAGGCTGGAAAGCTATAAAGTTCCACTCCTCCAGGCTTTTTCTGCCTCAAAGCTCATGGGCAAACTTCACATAGATATTCCCTGTGCAGAATGTAGTTAATCCTTCTCAAGATGTAGGAACAAGCCCTGTAATATAAATTACATTTTCAACTGGGTATTTACATTTACAGTGTACAAACCAGAAAGCTGCAAAAGCTCAAAGCATAGTAAACTCATACACAAGTGCGTTGCAGGAGAGCATCTTTGCTTACTTAGACCAACTGGAACACAAACACTGTCATTTTACATTAATGGTGAAATGCAGCTGAGTTGATCGGACCATGGTTAGTTAAGTTTTGTGGAGTTAGCTTTGCTGTCTTGTTCTGTATAATAGCTGATCTTACCCCACTTCTTTAACTGCTAAGCTTAAAGATCAGTCTTCAAAAGATGAACAAATCTGACCAGATATAATATTTAAGGACGGTGATCACTCCACAGAAAAAGGAATGTGTACAAACCCAGCTTCTGAACAACACAAAACTAGTATAAAACACATGGTCCCAGAGAAATAAAGTCAGAACTCCCCAAACTCTGAGTCAGAACCAATGTTCCACAAACATGCATAAGTTTGACAAGATTCAGAGTGTCAGCTGCCTTTTGCCTAGCCAAATATATTCTTTCTTGTGCTCCTACTGTGCTGCTTCTCTGCATGCTCGTTTCCATCTCCTGCGTTCCCCCAGCCTGTCATCCATATTTCCCTCTGCCTGAGGTTCACTCTTGTCCCCTTACTTTCTGCAGCCCAAATGTCCCACACTGTCACCTTCTCCTCAGCAGCTGTATCCCATTTACCACGGTCACTTCCCTCCATGGTCTGGGGTTTCTTTCCCAACCCCATGGAGGCAGAGCCAAGAGCAGAGCCTCGGCCTGGCTCAGCACAGGCCCTGAGGGAAGGGCGGTGTCCGGGCCCAGCCTCACCTCCCTCCAGCTCACCCCAGCTTTAACCAACCAGCCCTCCACAAAGACAAGACCCACAGAGCCCACAAGCTCCACAAGAAGACAAAAATGAACCTGGATGCCTTGTTCCAGCAAATACAGTTCACAGAGAAGCAGGCGAGGGAGAAGAGACAACTCATCCAACAAGGTCTGCCCCATGGCTGCCATCCCGTGGTGACGACACTGACCACACTTAATGGCTTCTCCATTTCCCTAGGGAAAAGCAGGGTAGACTCACTGTTACGAGGGGATCAGTGAAAGCTGGCTGGCAGCCGGGCTCCTGTTTATTGCCAATAGCATGTTTTTATAAGAATGTGACTTAAAATCATAGACTTGTTTGGGCTGAAAATGACCTTAAAATCATCTGGTTTCAACCCCCACTAACTTTTACAAACTGAGCGCACATTCTTATGGGCTTTTTGTTGTGTTGCAGCTAAATCCGACATAAATAGAAGCTGTGAAAAAATTAACCAAATAAAAGAAGAGCTGAGCGCTGCAAAAATGAAACTGGAAACTAAGGTAAGCGGGCATGTTTATAGTATACATAATAATGAAATACATTATATCTACAAATATATGACCTATTCTTTCAGGAATAGATTAATAAACAATTTCAAGGAGTACGCTTCACCTCTCAAATACCACAGCACAGAGAAAACTTACACTGTGCATTTCTGTAGTGAATAATGGTCTGTCAGCATCTTTCCCCTCTCACAAATCTCACCCTCCAGGCTGGCTCCTGGCTACGGTCAGGGACTTGCTCACCTTAGGGATAGGAACTTTTCCAGGTAACACTTCCATAATCTGGAAGCACTGGAGACAGCACCTGTGCATGTGGCAGTCACTGGTGCCCCGCAGACAGAGCTTGGCAGGGAGCAGACCACCGTGCCAGGTCAGTCTGTTCGCAAGACAGCCGTCAGACATCCCCGGTCCTGTCTTAACCACCCTGGAGCTTGTTAAAGCGCTTTCCTTCAGAGGCCCAGAAACCATTCCTTTGCTGCCCATTGCCATTCAGTAAAGGCCTTTCATAGAAACTATATGGAAGCATTCCCTCTGTTTACTTGACAGGATCTTGAGACACATACTAAAGATCTTCCTGTGAGCCTAGGCTCACAGTTAGGGCTTACAAGGAGTAAGAGTTTTTCTAGGGACAACAAAGATAGAGGAAAGGTTCTGAATCTTTAGTGTTTTAAGATTTTATTGTGCTTTTCATTTAACCAAACCAAAGACATATTTTCAGATTTAAAAAAAAAAAAGAAAATCCATTTATTTATGGATGAAAATCAATCACAGAATCATAGAACAGTTAGGGTTGGAAAGGACATTAAGATCAACCAGTTCCAACCCTCCCTGACATGAGCAGGGTCTAAATATCATTCCTTTGCTCTTAAGTATGTAAGCTAGCAGAATGTATATGCACAACAGGAAAGCATATGGAGCTTCCTTTGAAGTCAGAACTGTTATATCCTATCACTTAAGTAAACATCTTCAAGAACCTTTGGGGATTGCCTCACCTAGTTGTGAAGATAAATGTTTGGGGGATAGTTTTCATCCTTCCAAAACCAGGCTCTTCTGCCTTCTATAAAAGTCTGTGTAATATGTATAATAAATATCAACATTATAGGAAGGGGATAGGAATAAAAGAGAACTCATTTACAAATATTTACTGGTTGCAAATTGTAATCATGCAAGCAGCTATTCACGGGCTTGCATTTATGGATGTCACAATCTCAGAACCCAAAAGTGCTTTAAAATAATATCTTAACCGACACAGATTTTATCTGGGTGTGAATTGTAAGGTTAAGTGGTTAAGTCCTTTGTAGTCTTCCTCATAAATTTATTTATTAACATCACAGTCCTATGTTTATACTATTAATTTGTTATTGATGCATTGTGATTTATATCAAGGTTTATGTGGTAGGTACAGAAGGGACGAAGAGCAGAGACATCATTGTAAACAACTAATGGGAAGAACTGAAGAACTATTCCTAATTAAACCTTATGTGTTTTACCCCCCAGGATTAATAACATTCTTACTAACGTCCACAAAAATATTTTTCCTTGCTTTCTTAGTCACACATTGATTCATGTATAAATGAGAAATGATAAAAAAACAAGTGGAACCAAGAAATGCATTTCGATCAGACAGTATTTAGGTTTGAAGAGCATATAGTTATAGAAATTATTTACAGCAATTTATTTTTCAGTACAGTAATTAAGTTTACATATGTCTACAATAGTAAATGTGATTCAAACAATATTAAATAATGTTGTTCGGCTAATGCTGCTCATTTTGTCCTTCTGTCCAAATAACTACACTTCTTTATAAGCCTACACATCCAAGCACGTGCATGCACAACAGCTTATGCCTGACCAAGCAGCTGAGGCTGAGTTCAAAAGTGTTTTGACATCTATTTCACAGAGACTGCCTGTGGTCAATCAAAGAGTCTTAGGAAACGTTATTTTTTCCTCTGTTCTGTACAATCAGGTAGCATGTAATTAGAACCTGAATTACAGCATTTTGCTTTTCATGGCTCAATGATTTCTTCAAAAAAAATCAGTTGCAAATGCATAGATTAAGTTGGCATCTTACAGATGGAGAAATTACTCTGCAGCTCATTATGTTCAATAATATAAATACAGTGGTAAAAGATCCTCTACTCTCTTTGAATTAATATGTAAAATAAATATTCATGAGGCAAGCACTTTCTGGGCACTTAACATGCTGGACATATCAGGAATAAGGGAAAAAAATGGGTCCTTTCCTTTGTAACTCTCATATTCTAGTCTTATGGCATTTGATTTCACTATTCTTTTTTGATCAGATGCTTGTCATCTGCACCCTCTCTAAATTAATCTACATTATTTCATTTTACAATATTTTCATTTTTGCCTCTGTAATATCACTATTATTTGGTCTTTTTTGCCTCTGCACACAGTCACGTATCAGCCTGACTATTCAATTTACTTCCTGATGCTTACCCTGGGCCTTTACAGTCTGTGGGCAATTCTAACTTTACTTTCCCTACCCATTGTTCTGAGTATAACAGTCTGAGTCATCCTCTTGACCTCCTTTTCTCCACTTCATCAGATGAATGATTCTCATCCTTTAAGACTCTTCAGCACCTAGATGTTCCCTATTTTTCTGCTGTTATAGTTTATCCCACCATATATCTTAACTTAGGTTAGACAATGATACAGTAAATGCACTGGAAAATTGACAGGAACTCTGTAGCAAATTCTGAAAATGAAATGGTGGAACAGCATACCGTTCTATCAGATAAACTGCTGTTTAAAACGAATAAAAATAAAAATAAAACTATATTCAAAATAGACATTTGGGGCTTGGGGATTTTATGGTTAAACTGTCTTGAACCAATGAGCTAATTGCCATTCCTTGTCTTTGGGTAAGAATTCCAGAAATTGTGCTCAGAAAGCTATAAGCATACCCCTTCCTCCTTCATGTATACAATAGTAGCATTGCAGAGCTGATGATGTCTACAGCTATTCAGTAAAAACAACGATGTTGAAACCCTTGTCTGATTTGGTATGTGATGAGCTTTGCACAATTAGATGTAGGACATGTTATCATGTTAGGTACCAGATCCCAGATGATCAATATTTTTCCTGGTTTTAACCTGAAAACCAAAATCTCCTAAACTGAACAGAATTACTTTAGGTAGATGGACCAGGACTAAATGTGTCTTTTCAAAGGCTTAGTTGTATATTGGAAGATTACTGGGGGAAAAAAGAGCTGTTATGCTTGTGCTAGTCCAGCACCTATGTCAGCTATGTTTTAACAGGACCAAGAACCTTACGTACAATATCAAAGTACATGAAACAGTAAAACAATGACTTTATAACCTTTTTTAATTGTTTGTTTTTTTCTCTTGGAAGGTTCAGCATCTGTCTGAAAAGGAGCTCTGCTTAGAAATTCTGAAGAAACATGAAGAGAGCTTAGAAAAGCAGAAAGCTGAACTTATTAATCAAAAGAGCAGTCTTCTTAAAGTCTTTGTATGTTTTGAGCTATCTTATTCAAACAGTTCTTCTCTACTGTATAAGAATAGTTAGCTTTCATATTTAAAAATATGGAAGAAGTAATGTTTTAAATATGGAAAATATTTTTTTTACTCTACCATACTCAACGTAAATGTAGATAAATTCTCACTATTAATTTAAACCATGGTCTAAGGTAATGTATGCTGCATCTACAAAACTGATTTATCATTCTTGACTTCATTTCTTAATGTCTGCTGTTGTCCGATTGAACTCCAATTCGGATGCATTTTTTCCTTTGTAAAAGAAAACTAGGAAAGTCTCACCTAAATGGGACTGCATCATCCACAATAAAACATATTGAGAAGGATCAAAGTCAAAAATCAGTGAGGCCAACACTACATTTTAGAAATCCTGACATACCACACAAACTCTTTGATGCTGGACACACCTAGCCACCTCTGAATAGGTAGCTTATAGAGATATATACAGAAAACAAGCTTGTCAGTTCTTTTTTGTGCTAACCTGAATATTGCCTTCCTCTTAGTACACTGAGGGTCCTTGGATATGTAGATGTTAAGGAAAGCCACAGAGGAGTAGTCTTCTGCGCATATGTATTTGTACTTCAAATAAGCAGAGCTGAATCTTAAACATTCCGTATGAATCACCAGTTCTTCAGGATCCAAAATATACTCAATCTGAAGTATACAAAGAAATAATAGATACTATAAATATCATAGAAAAATTATTTAGCTATAAAAACTAAATATACTTTGAAGAAGTGTGGTTTCTTTTAACTGTAACTAGTCAAGTTTGATATATGGGTTATAATGTCTTTCTTCCTGTTTATCAGAGTAATTTCATTTTATTTAATTTAGCAATCAGTTAAGATTTTTGAAAGGAATTTAATAATGCATTTCTCTTTAGAATATTTTTTTCCAGAAAATGAAACAGTAACTTCCTATCAGCTATATCTTTCTTGGTAGTTACTGAGGGAGGTAAAGTAAGTCTGCATTCTGCAGAGGAATATACAACACCTTTATTTCATTTAATAACAATCTAAAAAAAAACCCAGACTTTAAACAGAACTTTCTACTAATTTCAATAAAGGGTTGAACTGGAAAACTGATGGCACAAGTTTGTAACGTAATACAGTGATTTTTTAAAATGTTCTATTATTAAGAATATATCCTTCACTTTTTCAGAGAAAAGAAAGGATAAAGCAACCAACAGAATTATGGAGCTGTAGATCATTTTCACATTCTCATAAGTCAGGAAAAGTAAATATACTACATATGTAGTACATGTTTGATAAACACCAGTATGTTTCAGTCTGTCTAGCTTAACAAAGACTTTCACCTGAACATTCAAGATTTTTCCCCTTCTTTTTTATTTCTTAGACAGATGCAAAGAGAAAAATGACTGAAGAGGAAGATAATTTTATTAGAGAAGTAACAGAGTTTAACAATGAGTATGGACTAACAAGTAATAGGGATCTTATGATTAGAAAAAAAGTAAAGACTGAAATAAATGATTTGGAGAATGAGGCAGCTCTGTTGAAAAATGGTAAGTTTTATATTAAACTATTTATCTTGGTTTACCAGAGAATTAGTACAAACCAGTAAAATGCAGCTCTGCAAAACAATAATTTTAAATCAATTTCCTTGCTGTCTGGAGCTTCCTTTTAGCACTACACTGAAAGAGTGTGGTCTGACATACCACATTACACATGCATAATTAAAGTCTCTTCTGTTCCCTATCCTCTTCAGTCCTTTCTGATTACAACCACTATGAGAAGCAGCAGACCTGCAAGAATGGCTCCCACTGCCTGATGTTGACCAGCACAGAGGTGCATTGTCACACGTAAAATACTGTATTAGGTTTGCACTGATTATAATAACCTATATAATCACCAGATATGTAAATTTCCTTAATTCAAAAGAATTTTATGTACATGTATCTTGCAGGAGTGGTCTTTTACTGCCACAATATAACTTTATCTTTGAGACATTTCTCAGAACAGTGACTCAGACTTAAAAGCAATCCTTCAGCAAGGAAATAGGAGTCATCATGGGCCACAAGCTGAACATGAGCCAATGACATGAGAATGCCAACACCACACTGAGACATACACATAATTCTGACCTCTAAAATATGCAAAATAATCCATCAGTCTATTTAGGGCGGTTAAGCTCTTAGCTGGAGTACTGTGCCTCTAGTTTTGGATGATACACTTCAAGAAAAAATGTGGACTATCTGGAGGGAATCTACATGGGACCAGTGAGAGTCATCAGACATCTGGAGAACATTAAAATTTTAAAAACATAAAAAATAAAGAATTGAGATCATTTAACCTATGAAAGAAAAGGCTCTCAGAAGATGGATATCAGTCTTCAAATCATTAAAGGATCCTGTAAAAAGGAAATTAATACATTCACCATGCCTACAGTGAACTGAATAAAAAGTAACAAGTGTAAACCACAATAAGGGAGAGTCTGGCTGGCTATTTAGAAGTCTCTTTCAGAACAATGAATAACTGAAGCATTCTGCCTTAGGAGATTCCATTGCCAAAGGAATTAGGAGTCTCCATTACCAAAAGTCTTTAAAACCAGCTTAGACAAGCGTCTGTCACAAGTGACAGAGGTAGAGGTGGTGCTGCCTTCAGAAGGAGAAATGCAGTAAATGACCCCTCAAAGTCATTTTCTGTCTCATGATTCTATGATTTACCAAGCACCAGCACTTTGAATTCCTGATATCTGATGTAAAGCTACTGAAATATGACTACTTGAGTTTGTACTTCATGGTAACTTTTTTCCTGATGCTCTGATCTGATCTACAACTGAAAATATCCCATATTTGTTGGCACGTGTTACTTTCAATGATTAATTTTCACATATTCAGGCAGATATGATCAGTAGAATATGAAAGGCGACTAACATTCTTCTCTAGGCTCTGATGCTGTCTTGATTCCATCCTTTTAAATTGCACTTTTTTTGAGGTACAAGTTGTCTGTCTTTCTGTCTGCTACAGTCCTGAGCACACTGACAAAACTAAAAGAAAATAATTAAGAAACTCATAGCAAGGGAATTCCATGAGGACCTCCAGCTGTCAGGAAAACTATCACAATTAATTCCAGATGCTGTCAATGCTCAGGTTCAAATGTCCTAAAAAAACACGGGCTTTTCTTTAGTCCTGCTGGTAGGTTCACCACCTATAAGTCATCACCCTTTATATGTGAAGTTGCTCTAAATGAAAACATTCTTTTTATAGCCTGTCAACAAAATATGTAAAACATCTTAATAAAATAAAACATTTTCTGTCACAGTTATGGATATATCATATGACATAATTTCCTGTGAACTGGGGTTTATATGACTGATTTTAGTTGATATAATTTCATATTTAAGATTATTTTGACTAGATGAAGATTGGTACAAGTAGTTAACAATATTTAAGATTATATCATGAAATGAAATGCATTTTCATTTTAACCTAAAATACATTAATTTTTTTTTTAGAAATGGAGTCAATGAAACATAAAAATGTTCAATTAAATGCACTTCAACTGCAGAAGAATGAGTTAAAGCAGGATTTACTTAATCTCCAAAATGAACTTAAAGGTGTGCATGATAATTGCTTGTTATAATAATTATTTGTGGCTTGACAAATGCCTCTGAAAAACCTCCTGAAGTTATTTTTCTCGAGAAAAAGAAATCATAGAAACAAGGTGTTAATATATGATTCTATGATTACATTATGGTTATAACAAATACGGGTTTCAGTGAGATTTATTTTAAACATCAGTGAGACTGGGGTCTACGGATTCCCTGAAACATAAGCTATAAATATGAAAAATTAATTTTTACTTTTACTGATAAGTTATATACTTAAATGGAGAATTTAGTGTTTCAATGTGAAAAGCACAAATACAGGCTGGGTAGAGAATGGATTGAGAGCAGCCCTGAGGAAAAGGACTTGGGATATTGATTAACAAGAAGCTTAACGTGACCCATCAGTGTGTACTTGCAGCCCAGAAACCAACCATGTCGTGGGCTGCATGAGAAGGAGCATGACCAGCAGGTTGAGGGAGGGGATTGTCCCCCTCTGCTCCACTCTTGTGAGACGCCCCCCTGCAGTCCTGCATCCAGCTCTTGGGCCCCCAACTAAGGAGGCCATGGAGTTGTTGGAGCATGTCCATAGAAGGCCATGAAGATGCTCTGAGGGCTGGAGCACCCTTCCTATGAAAACAAGCTGCGAGAGTTGGAATTTTCCAGCCTGGAGAAGAAAAGGTTCTGTGGAGACCTTAAAGCAGCTTCTAGTGCCTAAAGTGGCCTGCAGGAAAGTTGGATTTTTTTTGAGCAACCTAGTCTAGTGGAAGGTGTCCTTGTTCATAGCATGGGGGGTGGAACTAGATTATCTTGAAAGTCTTTTTCTACCCAAACCATTCTATGATTCTATGACTCTATGATTAAAATTGACATATTGTTAAAACCCCATTAACCCATAATTAAAGTCACTAAAATTCAGATGTTTAACAAGCAAAATTACTTGGATGGATAACAATAGATTTAGCCTAAGTGCTAACTCTCTGAATTGTAAATTCAACTATCATCTTGTTACTGGTATTTGTGTGTTCATCTATGAAAGTCTGTGCATAAAAAAATTCCACACACAAAGCTGGGAGGAACCTGCCACAGGAAATGCTATAAAAACACAAAAAGACAAAAGATACAGAGGGAACTAAGAAAGGTTCCGTATCAAAGGCGGAACCAAAGGCGTACCAAAGGCGATCACACGCATTTGGGATGATTTTGAAATTTGGATTTAAAAAAATGGAAGTGGTTTTGTAACTTTTTTGCAAAGTGTAAATACCATATCACAGTAAGAAGTAAGAAAGACAAGCCTAAAGTATGGTCATATATTGCTTGAGAAAAGCATTCTAGAAGATTGCAATATGCATAATAATTAGAATAAGTAATTCATATTCTTTATTCAGATGCCTTTTCCCTACAAACACTTAAATAATAAACACTTAGATAAATTTAGAAAATGTAGGAAGTCTTTGAATATGGATGATTAATATATATTTATAAGGTAATTGTTGATTTATGTTTAGACCTTGAGAAAGAAATCAGGGATGCTGAAAGAATGACAAAAGATTTAGAAGCAGAAAAAGTCCAAGTCACCAAAAAGCCTCAGACTGATCCTGAATGTTTAAGGTAAGAACCTTATGTTAGTAAATTCTTACATTCAATTTTAGGTCTGCAACTGCGCAGCGGTGCTGATGGCAATGACTATTTTACCTTTCCTATACAATATTCCCTTGAAATCAGAAGAATCATTCATTTTTATTACAGAACTTTAATTCCTGTTATTACATTCTTTAACCCTTACATGCATACTTCAATGAACTAAAACCTGAAAGTCTTTGCAAGGAAGTCAGTAAAACTTGGAGGAAGAGGAGGAGACTGCTCATGGGGGAAGGCTGGTCCTTCAGTTTTTGTGAAAACAGTGGTAGTGCACAAACTACTGATGAGCTGCCCAATGCTATACATACTTCTGCAGACTGGCTGTACAACCTTCCCCAGAGCCTGACTGCAGTGGAACGGATTGGCCACAATAACCTCTTTGGGCCAGATGGGCCGTGTACTAATGCAACTGAATGTAAATTTGTTTTCTCTGTGATCTCTACTATCAGTTCTTGTTTGCCTTCAAATTAAGCTAGGTTATAACAAAATTTTGAAGATTTAACCAAGACAGAAGACCATCCACAATCTCCCTTAATAGTGAATATTGCTTCCCAGGAGCTGACTGGTAATGACTGATTTCTCATCAGTCATACAGTTTAAGTGTGACGCTTACACTTTTGCTATACAGAAAACATTTTCAACAAAAATATCTTCCTCATATCACAAAATTAACCACCTTTTTTTCCCATGATATGGTGTCGCAGATAAAAGTGCCCATGGATATTTAAAAATATGTAATAGACATTGCAAAGGAACTTCTCTTACAAAAGCTACTCCAAAATATCCTGAACATAAATTGTCAGGGAAAACACAACTTTTGTTGCCATCACCTTTTTTTTTCTACCAGTTTTTGGAAAAAAAAAAAAAAGAAAAAAAGTATTTTTTTGTTCCTGAAAACTTTCAATGAAAAACTAAGATTTTGCATGGAATCCTGGGTGATTTTCTGAAAGATGGTTTGGTAATGGCCCATTTTTGCTGAATATTGTTTTTTGAAAGAAAATGATATATCAGCCCTATTACTCTCTTAGGCCTCTTACGTGGCGTTGAGACATGGCCAAAATTCCCTCAGTGTAAAAATAAATTAGCTCACAATTCTGCATATATTAGCAAAAGCTGTGCATTCAACCTCTACATAGAAGGCACAGTATAAATAATAACAACAGCAGCAATTCAGTGAGACAGCATGTTATAATTCACTCTTTTACATTATTCATTCCATCCTGATATACTAGGTTTTGATGCATGAGGTTATCATCTTCCTTCTAAACAACATAATTCCCCTGGAGTAGTTTACTGCCATGATGCCACCGAATATCCAACTTGGTGTAATTAGTTTTCTATAAGAGGTTTCCTGTGTATAAGGTTCAGAAGTAGCAAAAATTATATTACTTTAAACCCCCTTCTCTGCCACTGATTGCTACAAGATCCTAGGCAAATCATTCAAATCCTTATATGTCTGTTGTTCTACATACTGAAATTAACTCACAGCTCTGTGGAACGGTACTCTGGTTTTATCTGGATGAAGAACACAAAACTGGATAAAATAGACCAAATTTTATTAACTACAAAAGCAATGAGTGTTGTTTACAATCAAAGCAAGAAGAATGATATGATTTTCTTATTTTATAAAATGCCTCAGTTTATGCTCAAGATAAGTTTATATTATTTGATAATTGCACGTAGTACAAAATATGTAACACTCCTGCTATTACTATCACAAGAAACAAGTGTTCTTTGAGGTGTCATGATATATTGAAGAAATTTTCTTTAGATTGAAATATTTTTTCATTTCTGATTCTGGAAAAAATTTAGGATAGATTGGCCTAAATCATATATTTATCTTGAACTTGCTTTTGATCAGGAAAGCTCAATACTTCAAGAGAGAGAGAGCCCTCAATAAGTTAACTTAGATGCCAAAAGCAACATAGCTATGTTATTGTACTTCCATGTCAGCACTAATAGTTTCTGCTTTTCAAGTAGAATCAAGTAGGCAACCCTCTTTGCTCTATGTGCTCAACTGTCATAGTACTGTGCTGTTTAGAATTATCTCAAATCTTATCAGACTCATGCAACTCTATAATAGTTTTCTTTTATTAAACAAAACATATCCATCACTTCTTGGTTTGGACTGCTGAATTAAGAGAATGAAAAGGAATTTGAAGTATTATATTCTATAAATAGTGCAGTATATAAATTTTTCCCCTGGAGGTACCTGATCACCCTCCAGTACCTACAAGGACATCATCAACAATTTGGAATGAGGATCTGCACAATGCTGCTCAGTGGGATAACACAAGGCAAAAAGTTGAAATAAGCAGGGTTTAGAATGAATTAAAGAATACTTTTGTATCATGATGACAGCTTAGCAAAGGAAAAGGTTTCCCAGAAAGGTTGTGCATTTTTCATCCTTGAAGCTTACAAGACTTGACTGAGTAAAGCCCTGAGTAACCTGGTCTGACCTTTTAACTGACCTTGCTTTGTGAGAGACATTGGGCTAGATGACCTCCTGGCATCCTTTCCAGTCTGAATTATCCATTGAACCACTTACCATTGTGGACTGCACAGCCCATGTGTCAATACATAAGCACTGGCTTGTGCTCAGATGCAGAATTACCTGCAACAAATCTAGTTCTCTTCGCACTGCCTAGCATTTGAAGATATCATACCTGCTCTGGTCCCTTTGTAGTGTCTCTGAGACATTAAAATACAGTGTCATATATATGCACATATTTTCCATTCAAAATGCATGAAATACTTAAAGGAGTTATGTCCAGCCCAGCAGTGTTCTGGTTCAAAATGACAGTACCTAACATCTATTTTTCAAGCTCTCATGTCACAGAGGTATTTGAGGGACCATAGCTGCTGCAGCAGCACACATGCTGATGTAGTCCATGACACTAGTCTTCCTGGGTCAAATCCTTGAGTGACATATCCTGTCCACTGTCTGCTTCTGTGGGTGCCCACTGAAACGAATCTGAGAATAATCATAGAATGGTTTTCATTGAAAGGGACCTTACAGCTTATTTATTTCCAACCCCCTGCCATGGGCTGAGACACCTTTCACTATATCAAGTTACTCCAAGCCATGCACAATCTGCCCTTGAACACTGCCAGGATGGGGCAGCCACAACTTCTCTGAGCTACCTGAAAAGAACACATTCAGTGTCAGTGTGAAAAACAAAAGTACAAGGCACCTGGGCTGAAACAGAAAGCCCCCTGACAGTCTAGATACACCTTTGGCCCTTGTAAAGGACCTCTTGCAGCCAAAGTGCCAATGAATGCAATGTTACATATACTAGTATATATCTTAATAGGAGTCAGTTTTGGTCATATTAAAAATCAATGTGATCGAGCCTACTATGTTTGAGAAACAGCCCTTTATAGCCTAACAAAATAAGATTTTTCCCCATGCACAATCTATTGCAAAAATAGAATTTCAGTTTCTACTGAAAATCATATTTATTATTTATGGAGTAGAAGATTTTGACACAAGTAATATACATCAAAATTACACATTTTTCCTATGAAATAAGCCCAAAATCTAATTCCTTTTTTACAAAGCAGGAAACCATGCCACTCTTTAAATGATAAAAATACCAACGTTTTTAATGCTTCCTTAGAACAAATGTGAGAGACAATCAGCATCAATAACCTGATATATGTAACTCCCATATCACCCCGTAAGTCTGTTACTGTATCACATACCTAGGCCCAGCTTAAAAATCAATATCAAAAGTAGCTGGCATTGCAAGAATCTTCATTACAATTAAGTATATATCTTAAAGTAAATTGCATTTCAGCTGAAGAGTGTAGCCAGCTAATTCAAATTACAGCAATTCATCTTTGATCTGAGAAAAATGCCCTATACCATGTCTGCAGTTTCATAAAATCTCTCCTAAATCCATCAAGGAATTACAAAAGGTCATGAAAAGCATACGCTGGTAATTCCAACAGCTCTTGTTGCTGCAGTTACAGGGTTTTTTTAATACACACCAGAATATACACAGGAATACACACAAGAAAAAGCTAAACCAAAATTTGAATGCTAAGCGCAGATATAGTTATGGGTAAGACAATGTACACTCTTACTCAAAGTAGGCACCCTAGAAATTGTAAGACTTTTGATACAGATGTGTAATTCAGAGAAATATTTGAGAAAAAAAGGCTTTTTTATTATTTTTAATCATAACAGATAAGCAATTAAAATCCAAACCCTTATTTTAATCATCTGTACTGCCAATGCCAATCCAAAAAAATCCCAGAAAGCAGGAAAGAGCTTTGGGATTAGCTCTTTCGAGTCACATTTCCCTCGCAGGTAGTATGTAGCATCACTTAAGTGGAACAATACAGGAGTGAAGAAGAAACTAACTGATACCAGTAAATTCCTAGCTATGCAATGTCACTATTATATTCATTGTAATTACTTACTACATTAATTATTTATCTTCTTTCACATTTTAATTTGAAATTTATGTGTTGCCTTAAGTAAAACTACCTAGAAGTAATTATAATTAAAGTTTATTTAAACCAAGAACAGAGAGTTTCTATCCAAAATTGGTATTTTTCACGCTATTCTAAAGGTGGGCTAAGGGTAAAATACTTCTTTGAAACATGAATCTCTATTCTACTTTAGAAAAGCAGTAACAGGAGGGAAAAGAATGAAATCATCTTACTTTGTAAATCGTTGTATATTTGTAAATACTTTTGTATATTTAGCTAATTCTTTGTATATTTGTATATAATACTTTGTAAATACTTTGGTATATTTAGCTAATTCTTAAAAATATTGCATTGTTTCTTAGACTTCATAATACAGAAAAAGTAACTCCATTAGCAAAATTAGAAAGGGAAAAGCAATGGTTTCTTTCATACAAATCATACAGGAAATATGTTCATTAGACCTGAACAAACGTTTCATGCTAAGAGTAGATTACCTCAGGCCGTACATGCATGGTTCTGGTGGATTAAAA